GCATCCACGTCAGCTGGAAGAGCAGCCTCCGACCCACGCTCATGCTTGGGCCATCCTTGGAGAGAAAGGCCAGCAGAAGTCAGCTTGGGCGTGACATCCCTCGGCTCGGGCATGCTGCCAGCGCACCCGCCTGCCTGGGCTGGCTCAGGGAGGAAAAGGGGCTCCTTGTAGTCCCCTCGGCAGCCACAGACATGTGACGAATGAGTAAATATCAACAGGTTGCCTGAAAACAGTGGTAATGGGGATGGGGGGGTGGTTAATACACAAACAACCAGAGAAGCCACAGACTACTCTAGCAGTTAAATATAGGCTTCTACATCCAGGCAGGGTGGAATTTTATGAGGCACATAAAAAACTGCAATGTCTTTAAAACCAGCCCTGATTTATTCTTCAGTCGCATGCCATCTTTTAAAATGCATGGATTAAATCAGAATTAAAAGGTGCCTAGATGATTGGCTTCTGCACGTAGCCACGAATGAAGTCCCCTCAACAAGCAGTGGCGTTTCCAGTTCAAGGCTTCATTTACATCATACACGCTTTTTATTAACGGTGCAGAGAACGGAATCGTTCTGGATAAAAGACACCGGGATCTGACAAGGGCCACCGAGAGCAGTGAAGAGGATTCATCGTATTGAGTGATCTGGATCGCCACTTAAGCAGGGCATGGAGAAACAACATGGACTCAAGCAGGTCCAAGTTCATCTACCCAGGAATAAACACAGCAAACTACAGTAGAAGGGTGGGAAATCCTATCCTGGGCTGTGACTACCCTCACATGCCTGACCGGATACCAAGCTGGACGGGGAGCTCCTGGGGTGCCAACGTCTGAAACGGCGAGTGCTAATGAGCTACGTAAACGAGGAACATTGAGTCGCATTGCAGAGGTGATATTGTATCTGACAAGCCTCTGGTTCAGCTGATACTGCAATGTTGTCCAGGTCAGCTTTCCACAGTGAAAAAAGGTTTTTTGACGACAGTGAAATAATTAAGAGGCTCCAGGTTCCATCTGTTAAATGCATTAAAGGACCAATAGCACAGGGCTCCTCACTGTATATTGCGAAACCCCAACTGGTAACTAGAAAATACAGGCTAAAACGAAGATGCAGATCTGTGCCAGAGATGGCAATTAGCTAGTGGAACAAGTCTGTAAGGGCTGTGATGGATTCTCCAGGCAGAGAGTGTTATAATTACCAGGACTGAACGTTTCACAAAGGCAAATTAATCCACGGCGTTGTGCAAAAGACTAAACTAGATTATTTCCAAGCCCTTTTACCTGACAAGCTGTGACTCCCTGAACATGCACCTAAGGCAAGTTAGCAAAGACACCATTCAGGAATAGCTGCACATCTAGGAAAGGAAAGGTTTTCTAAAGATTATTGTACTTGGCCAACTTAAAGCATTCAGAAGTCATGAGTCAGGGCCCCAAGCATCATGCAACTGGCTTAAAAATACTGATATTTTAAACCAGGAACAAATATTGGTTCTTTTTGATTTGCCTTCTGGTTTTTTGGCCTTTTAAGCTTCAGGGTTCAAGCTCTGCTCTGCAGTCATGGCGTCCACAAAGCAGAGGTCACTAAGTCTAATTTATTTAAATGCTGAGATTACCACAGCATCATAGGACTCTAGGAGGTTTTTAGAACAATACCAAATATCTTGAGACCTACAGTAAAGTCGTGAGATTTCACCATGGTGATTGTAAAGGCAACGTTCCCTTTAAAACCAGCCACGTGCAAAAAAAAAAGCCAAACCAAAAAAGCAAGTTAAGCAGCAGCTGCAGTTATCCCATCTCCTTCAGCAGCTCCCTGCCAGCCACTTGTGGGTTTCCAACCACATTTCCCTCATCACAGAAGGACTGGGAGGGAGTGGGGGATCGGTGACCCTATAGGTCTTTTCCATCCCTCGTATCTGTGGGTGCTTCCTATGGACTGATGCAGCTCCGTGCTTCTCTCCTCTCTTTTCTGGAAGGCAGAAGCCTTTTGCACAGTCCCAGTCCAGAGGATGCCAGGATGGACAGGCTGGGGAACAGATATGGCCAGGAGAGAGGGAAAGGGATGCTGGCATATATGAGATTCCCTTCTGACCACAGGCAAAGCTCTGTTTCCATTAGCTTCTTTCCCGGGCCCTCCCGATGAGATGAAAGCTGGAATTTCTCACCTTGCTTGCTCCTCTAACAGCAAAAACAGCCTCTCCAAACCCTACTCTTCAGTTAACCTTATGGGACCAGGTAGTCTCCTACCTTAATCTCTCTTATCAAGGTCCTCCATCCCAGTCAGACAGCTGGCTGTGAGCCTCCCCAGAGCCCAGGCATGGGGGGGAAGCAGTGAGCAAGAGCAGAGGACCAGGAAGGTTTGTGCTTGGGAGCAACCCAGCAGTGTGATGAAGCCCCCAGCTCTCCTCCAGCAGTGCTCAGGGGCTGCTGCCCAGACAAGTCCTCCAGCAGATATGGGGCTGACATCTTCAAACAGGTAACCTGTCTTAATCCTCTCCACAGATAGGAATATTTGGGGCCACTTTGTGAAATTGCATTTTAACTGTGCTCATTCCAGACCTGGGCAAGCCCATCCTGCGACGCAGCCCAAGATGCACGCAGGGATGCACCGGAGCACAGCTGCTGCAGAGAGAGAAGTGGGAGGTGATGAGCACACTGGGATTACTGCCACTTCCTAAAGGCTTTTGTCACCCAAGTCTTCCCAGGTAACAAGGCTGTAAGGGAATCCTGCAGCCCGCGGGGCCAGTTTTGAGCTGGGATATGGCACAGGAGAAGAAACCAAACCAGCTCACATAAACTAAGATCAAGTCTGGGTAATGCCAACAACGAATATTTCAGTGCGCCCAAGCAAAGCGAAAGGTTGACATTCCTGTATCGAAAAATATCACAGAAAAAAGCCCACGATGAGGATAAAGACCAATGCTTGCCAACATCTCCTGCAGTGCCAAACATCCCCCCAGCCGCTGGCTGTGCAAAGTGACAGCACAAGATACAGCCTGCAAGCGAGCAACTGTCCTGCTAGTGCTAATTACTGCCTAAAACGCAGCCAGCAGGAACACGTAGGCAGGAAACATCCCCCAAAATCCAGGTACTGTGTGAAAGGAGCTAAGAAGGACTTGAAAATACCCATCTGCACACCAGCACCCAGAACCACCTTACAGAAAGCACAAGAGAGACCATATGCCTTAGACCAAACCTAGCTTTAGTGAGACAGCCCCCAGCTACGCCAGCCTCCCTGGAAACACATGCTGGAGTAGCCAGCAGGAATATATGCAGACCGAGAGGTATTCAGGCCCTTGCTGAGCTGCAAGACAGACACCACTCAAGATGTTTTAATAAGTCTGCAAACCGGCAGCGGCTCTGCTCTGCCACACTGCCAGTCCTCTGCTGCACAATACACGTCCCCAGTGTCCCTGCATCTGCCAAGAGGGACGTTTCTGCACCGTCATGCAAAGAAAACAGCATGCAGGGGTAGCCGGCACACCCCTCTGCAGTGTGATTTGGGGGTTAAACCACGCTGCCTTACTGGGAATGAGCAGCAGTCACCATCATGAGCCAGGGAGTTTCTTCCCACAGCTGCCAGGGTGATCCAGCAGCGCCTTGGGACAAGGCTGGGGGCTGGCCCGTGCTGCAGGTGTGGAAAGCTGTGCTGAAATCAAGGGGTTTCTCAGCATTAACCTTGCTGACCAGGCACCTGGGCAAGGTTTTGAAACTGGTCCCAAAGGGTTTCCCACTCAACACCAGCACCATTCCTGGTTAGCTGCACTTACACAGACTCAGCAGAACAGACTTTTGTGGGTATTGAATCAGCACTTTCCAAGAGTAATAAAAAAAAAACAAAGCAGCTCCTTTTCTGTGGGATGAATCTACTTGGTGCTGGAGATGTTTGTCAGCACTGTGAACGGCTGCGGCAGAGCACGGCCCCAGCTCGACCCCACTGCCCTCGAGTTCCTACAGCTGCTTCTCAGCACAAACAGAGATTTTCACTGAGCTCTTAAAAACATCGTCTCACTCTGAAAAAAGCTGCACAAACTCCGCACAGTGGGAAGGCTGGTAACCAAAACACACGTGGAGCTGGAGGAAAGCCGGCGGTGCGCAGCGCGGGCCCTCGCTCGTCACAAGTGCCGCACAGCGTTCCTCACAGCCACGCTCCGTGTCCCTCCACGCCTGGACATGAATCCTGTCGTTTTCGCAAACGCAGAAAGGCAGAGGATTCAGCCCCCGATTCCGTGCCTTAGGAATTCCGGACAGGAGGAGCCATGTCAGCTGCGCCATCTTTTCTCCGTGCCTGCGCTGCGGCAAAATAAGTGCAAGCAACTTAAGTCGACACTGACAAAACCTTTGGGGATTTCGGGGTCAAAAAAGACCGAATGAGGCCGCTTGCGACATGAAAACCACCCACAATCACACCAGATGCCACCAGCCTTCCAAATCCAGCAAAATACTGTCCAGGCAGTCAAAGAGACAGGGATGAGACGGAGAAACACCTGCATTTAGGCACAGCAAGGAAAAGGGAGTGCTCAAGGCACGGGCTTGCCTCTGCCAGCAGCAAACCCACGCCGCTCGCAGGGATCAGCTCGCCACGAGCAAACACTGCGGATTATTTTTAATGCGCTTGGAATAAACCCGTGCTGGCGGGGAGGCCCGGCACGAGGGGCCCGGTGCTGTGAAAGCCCCATGTCAGCTCTGCTGGGAGGACTTAAGTAGGCCATAAGCAGCATGGACACTTTGCATAGGCGCCTTGGACATGCGGGTGCTTCCACCACCGGCCCGGTGCGGGCCATGAGGGTGGGAGGGGGCCCCACCACGTTCACAGAGCCATGTCTACATGAGGTCCGAGCCCCATGGAAGCCAGCTCCTCCAGCGAGGGCAGCATCAGGCCCCTCCTGCACACCCACCTCCCCCCTGACAGCCATTAGTGGAGCGTTTCCCTGCCCATGGCAGGGGGGTTGGAACTAGATGATCTTCAAGGTCCCTTCCAACCCGAACCATTCCATGATTCTATGATTACCTGCTGACCCCGTACTCTGGGGGCGGCTGGTAGCGGACGAGGGCCACCTCCGTCCGGGCGGGCTGCGGGGTGGTGTAGGTGGCCTTGAGGACATCCTGCACAGGCTGCTCGCCGTAGAAGAG